GAGGCCTAGGAGTCCTCCAGACCACGAAGACCCCTGCAAAGCCTCGCACATGCCTTCCACTTTCTCGGGCTGGGCAAACGTGTGCTCTGGGATGAGGCAGGTCCTACCCGGCCAAAAGATTCCCAAAACCTTAAGGCAGTGCCTGGGCCTGGAAAGTTCTGTGGGTTCACCGCCCCCCCTCTCTCAGACCTCCAGCAAAGCCTGCAGGATGTCCCGCGACAGAGCAAGTGTGCACACGTGAACAGTATTGCGTTAACGTGGTGGGTCCCTCTTCCAGGTGTCTGGCTGCCATGCTGTGACACGGTGGGGCTATGCAGGTGACTTGGGGGAGCACTTGTAAGGTTCTTCATTGGGGCGTCCGGGGGACTCAGTTCAGTGTCTAACTCTTGATTTCGGCTCAGGTCAGCTGTCCCCTGCCAGGAGCTTTCTGGCTCTCCCGTCAGTCCCCTCTCCCCCACCCCCCCGGCAGCCCGGGGGGATGATGGGCAGGGCGCACAATGCCCACTCAGTGTGGCTCTTAGGTAGTTCCTCTGGCGTCCCTGTGCAGCTTGTCGTGTGAGAGTCCCTCTTCGTGGGGGGAGCAGGCTCACGGGTTCCCCGCTGTGTGTCCCCTCTGCACTGGTGTGAGGAACCCTCAGGTGGAATTGAGTGGAGGAGGCTGGAAGACTTCAGCCTTGGAGGATGTCCAGGCCGGTGTGTTCCCACGTCCTGGTGGGAGATGGAGACCTCATATTTGGGGGGCAGGGGCAGAGCCCCCAGCATGCAGCGTCTGGGGACTTTCTTGACTGAAACTGTCGTTCAGGTTTTGAGGCTTTCCACGGGCTGATCTCTCTTCAGGTGGGGTCCCCGCAGCAGGGAGGTCAAATCACATTTGCTTCCAGCTTCCTTTCTCCAGACACTTTAGGGTCTGTTGGGACAGCGTTTTGGCCTTCTGAGCTCTGTCTCGGGCCTGGGGCTTCCCCGCAGCCCAGACCTGTTCCCGGGGCTGCTCAGCTTCCCCTCGATCAGCGGCATGGCGCCCGGCATCCTAAACAGTCCATTGCGCAGGTGGCTTCAACGTGGACACCGGCAGCCCGTACTGGCTGCTGGGGGTGGCCTGGAAGATGTCCGCTTTCGTTCCTGCCACCATGTGGCCTGATCAGAGCCTTCAAAGACAGGGGTGCAGATGGCCCATCTCGTTCCCAGACCCCTAAGAATTTGCTCTACCTCCTCTGTAGATTCCCAGGGTCCCACAAGCCCAGGAAGGTGCCCCTCATAGGGCCAAGCCTTCCCGTGGGCTAGAATAACCCAGTGTCTAAGGAAGTAAGTAGCTGGAACTTGCTGAGCGCCAGGAAGGTGCAGTCAGGAAGAGCCACCGCTCTGGGCCCCGGGGCCGCACCGGCTGCGCCTGGCCGCTTTCCCTGGCCTTTTGCTGGAGCTTGGCAGCTACGTGGGTGAGTTCAGTGGGAGCAGACCCTCAGGAGGGGTGTTTCCTGGACCGGGGACTGCCCTGCTGACTGTCCTTGCTTTCCCTTGTACGAGGGGTCTGCCGGCCCCGAGTGCTCATCTGTTTCGTCGTCCGTCATGGCAGCGCCCTCCTCTTCCACTTTCCCGGTGGTGTGATCCATGTGGTTAAGGCAGCCCGTGCCTTCTGGGGGGCCGCGTGCTCATGACGCAGTCCACAGGCTGCCATGTGGGCTACCCCTCCCCACGCTGAGGTCGAGGTCGCTGGCCAACCTGCGACTCCCCTGTGGGTGCCTTTCCCAAGGCCTGTGTCTTTGGTCTCTAGGCTTGTTCATCTGTTGTTGCTTTGCAGCCTGTGATCTGAAAGTGGCCCCTGTATGTAGAGGGCAAGGAGACCCCACAGGATGGGTCGGTGGCAGGTTTTCTTATCTTTTCATGTCTTAGTTTTTGAGAGCATGAGTAGAGAAGTAGGCGGGGGGGGCGGGGGGGGACGGGGGCAGAGGACCCAAAGCAGGATCTGTGCTGACAGGCTGACAGCAGTGAGCCCAAACTCCGGGGCTCGAAATCCGAATCGTGAGATCATGACCTGAGCCAAAGTCAGATGCTCAACTGACTGAGCCCCCCAGGCGCCCCTAGGTGGCAGGTGTCATAAGTGGGTAAACTTCCTTATGAGGCCGGTCTCAGGCGGCAGCAAGACCTCCGCACGCCTGGCTGCAGTGGCCTTAGTGCGCTGGGTCTCACCCCTTCCACATGGTCCCAACACATCGCTGTCTCCAAGCTGTATCCTTGGCCAGCCTCTGGGAGGGGTGAGGGCAGGCACGATGCTCGTCCCCACAGCAGGGGTGAGGAGCCTCTGACTGGCCCAACAGGTGGTCACATCTCCGTGCTCTCCCCCACCAGATGGTTATCAGTGTATAGGAACAACAGATTTTTGTGTATGAATTTTTGTATCCTGCACTTTCCTGAGTTCATTTCTAAGTTCTAGCACCTTTGCCTGGGTGCCTGGGGTTGGGGGTGGGGGGCTCGGTCAGTTAAGCATCTGACTCCTGATTTTGGCTCAGGTTGTGATCTCATGGTTTTGTGGGTTTGAGCCCCCAGTCAGGCTCTGCACACTGACGTCGCGGAGCCTGCTTGGGATTCTCCTTCCCCTCTCTCTGCCCCTCCCCTGCTTGTGCTCTCTCGGTCTCAAACTTAAAACAAAAAAAAGTCTGACAGCTATTTTGGTTGGAGTTTTTAGGGTTTTCTAGACATATGTCTTGCTTCCCAAGATGGATATACTTTACTTCTTGATCTTGCCCAGCTGCTGACTAGGCTTTGTTGAGTAGCAGGGGTGAGATTGGGCCTCCTTGTTCTTGACCTTAGAGGAAGAGCTTTGAGCTTTTCCCCACCGAGGATGCTAGCTGTGGGCTTTTCACACACGGCCTTGATGGTGTTGAGGCATGTACCTTGTCCACACCGAACCCATGAACTGTGAGATCATGACCTGCACCAAAGTCGGACGCTTAACTGAGCACCCCCAGGCGCCCCTCTGCTGCCCATCCTCAGATCGGTCCTCTCTGTGTCTTAACGGTGGTCTGGGAGTATCTGTCGCGTGGCCTGGAGGAACTCAGACGTGTCGGATGCTTCCTGTTCCCTCGCAGCCTCGTGGACATCCAGGCCCTCGGAGGGAAGTGCTTTCTCCTGGATCCCTTGCTGCCAGAGCTGCTGGTGTTTCCAGCCCAGACGGATCTGCACGACCACCCGCTGTACCAGGCCGGCCACCTCATCCTACAAGACAAGGTAGGGCGGGTGGGTGGGCAGGGCAGGACGGCGAGCGGGAGTTCGACCCGAGGACCTGGGGCCTGGTGCGCCAGCAGCGTCTCTGTCCCCCAGGCCAGCTGCCTGCCTGCCATGCTGCTGGCCCCACCCCCCGGCTCCCACGTCATCGACGCCTGTGCCGCCCCAGGCAACAAGACCAGTCACCTGGCTGCACTTCTCAAGAACCAGGGGTGAGTGCCAAGGTCAGCCCGAGGGACCGGGTCTGACCCTGTACTTGGGAAGATGAGATGAGGACCTCTGGGTCCCAGCGGGGGCATGAAGGCCGAAAGGAGGCTTTTCCTTTAAATGTGTCCTTCTGGACCCAGGGCAGTTGGCCGATGGGTGGCGGGTGTGACAGAGAGGAATCCCTCAGCCCCTGGGGTGGAGTCCCCAGCTCGGCTCCCTCTAACCATGGTCCCTTCTTTTCTGAGTCCTGAGGGAAGGGACCTATTCTTGTGTGTCAGAACTGTGGGTCCTGAGCTTCCCTGTGGATTCTCAGTTCGGCCCGTCTCTCCCCTCTTCCCCAGGAAGATCTTTGCCTTTGACCTGGACGCTGGCCGGCTGGCATCCATGGCTACCCTGCTGGCCCGGGCGGGGGTCTCGTGCTGCGAGCTGGCAGAGGAGGACTTCCTGGAGGTCTCACCTTCTGACCAGCGCTACCGTCAGGTCCAGTACATCTTGCTGGATCCTTCTTGTAGCGGCTCTGGTGAGATGGGGACAGAGCCTGGCTGCGGGACCTGCAGATGCAGGGCAACCTCCCAGAAGGGGCAGCGGTTCACTGTGGCCTCTGGGTCAGCTCTGACTCTAATCAGCTGGTGGCCCTGGGCAGACGTTCTCCCCTGTCCTGCGGGGATCTCGGTGCGGCTGACAGGCTCTGTCCTTAGGTATGCTGACCAGACGGCTGGAGGAGCCCGGGGAGGGCGCACCCAGCAAGGCGCGCTTGCAGGCCCTGGCCGGGTTCCAGCGGCGAGCACTGTGCCACGCGCTCACTTTCCCCTCCCTGCAGCGCCTGGTCTACTCCACGTGCTCCCTCTGCCAAGAGGAGAATGAAGACGTGGTGCGTGACACCCTGCAGCAGAACCCAGGGACCTTCAGGTAGTGGGGGGGCGGGAGGGGCGGGGCGGGTTCTGCCCGCCCCACCAGGGTCCTGGGGAAGAGAGCTGCTTTTACGCAGAAGTCTGTTCTCCACAGGCTAGTCCCTGTCCTCCCCTCCTGGCCTCACCGTGGCCTCAGCACTTTTCCAGGGGCTGAACACTGCCTGCGGGCCTCCCCTGAGACCACGCTCACTGGCGGCTTCTTTGTTGCCGTACTTGAACGGGTAGAGGTGCCAGGGTGAGTGAGAGGTGGTGGGGCCTGCTTGGAAGACGCCGGAAGAGAGGGGCACATCTAACTCTGGTTCTTTCCTTCCAGCTCAGTCTCCCTGGCTGGAGCCTCGGCACTGGATCCCGCCCCTGGGGCCGCCCCACGGAGGAAGAGACAGCGTAGAGCCACGGCCCCTGGCGCCCCGCCCTGCACGGAGCAGGTCTGCAGAGCTGCGCTTTCTCGGGTGGGAAGAGTGGGGGGAAGACCCTGGCTTTCCTGCAGCTCAGCCGGCGGGTTTTTAAGGTTCTCTATTCATTGCTTTAGGAAGGAAGGCGGTAGCCCTGATTCTCCGGCTAGAGGGACAGCGGGGACTTCCCTACCACTGGGCCCCTTCCCAGGTCGTGTTCTCGCTCGTGACCGCTCTGCCCACAGAAATAAAAAGCATGGTCTACGATAGATCACAGTTTTTTTTTATTCTTAATGACATAAGCAAGGAGACAAATCTCACATTCATACTAGAAATTCCAACTAGCCTCACAGGAATTAAGTCTTTATTTGTAATGGAAAGTCCCAGCCTCCCGTTCCTGTCCAGTGCACGTACATGTACACACACACACACACACACCCACACACACACTCAGGCCGCACCGGGACACCCTCTTCCGGGGCTCCCGGGCCAAGTGTCCTGCCTGTTGACCTGAGGTAAACTAGCTCGGAGCACTAACACTAAGAGATCTACCTTCCGGAAGGTATCACTAGAAGCCTGGGTTCTAGACCCGTGCCCACCCCCACCCCCACCAGGTACTCGGGACTTGAGGTCTGGGTCTCTGGGCGCCACACAGGTAAACGCTGTCCGCTCTTGCTGGGGCTGGGGGCGAGCAGTCCCCTGCACCACACTCAACCTCAGGTCGCAAGGTGGGGGGGGGGACAAGTCACATCTACATCACATTATTTATAAAATAAGAATTACGGTTTATAGAATGTGTCCCGAAGGGGCTCCAGTCCCTCAGGAAAGCTGCCTGGGACAGCGTGAGCCTCTCCTTCACACAGGCATAACTTAACTATACAGCTAGTTCCTAGTCAATAGCGTTTATACTTAACCACCTCAGTGAACCAAGCTTGAAGGAATTTAAAAGGCAATTTAGCTTAAATACAAAAATAAATTTTTATTTCGTTAAAAAACGTTTAAATATTTTTTTTTTAATTTAGACACACGCATTCATACTTCTCCCAAAGAGGATGGGCATGGCAGCGAGGCTCCTGGGCCTGGGGTATGCGATCTGGGAACAGGGAGCAGGTGGGGGGGAGGGGGGCAAATTTTGCAGTGTGGTTCGTTAATTTTGGTTTTTGAACACTCTGGGGAGGTTCTTGTCCACAGTGGGGTCAGCGGGGTGGGAGGGAAACAGCGGAGGGAAGAGGTCTTTGCTTCCCCCTCGGCCCCATCCTCTTGGGCTGCCAGCCCTTAAAGTCAAAACACCATCTGAAAATCCAGGAGTCAGCACGTGCAGCCGTAAAGCGGTGCTACTTCCACATTCAATTAGCGAGGCCCCAGAAACTTGAAACAGTGAAGTCCGGCACTACCAACATGCCGCCACTCATACAATTCAATTCTTCCTCCAAACTCGATTCAAAGAGCAGTAGACATGAGCATCAGACAGTAACACAGGACAAGGCTTTAAACACACAACCCTGGGGAGGCGGCGGACGAGCCCCACGGAGGCCAGCGGGGAGGGCGGGCGGCGAGGAGGAGGCAGCGGAGGATGTCCTGCCTGCTCCCTCCCCCCTTCCTGCTCCCCGGGAGCGAGGTATCTCCCCTGCAGCTCTACAAGGCTAACAGTCTCGAGCCACCCAGCTTTTAGGGGCCAAACTGGCAGAGGGCTGAGGACAAACACGGACTCAGACTTGGCAGGAGGAAGTGGACCAGCAGGAGCAGCACCCACTGGGGTCTCCAAGGCAAAGCTAGATTCAAGGTCCTTTAAAAAGGAGTACACCCTGCAGGGAACCAGGGAGGGACGAAGCAGCAAGAACTGGGGAAGCAGAGGCCCCTATGGGACCCGCGGAGAACCACGTTTACAGGCAAGCCAGGCAAGGTAAAGCTGCGGGGCTGACCCGCTTCCCCGACTCCTGTCATCCACTGCTCGGCGGCAAAGTACGTGGGCCAGGGCCGTGCTTTCGTCCCCGTCAGCCGAGACGGCCCTCGGGGCGGGAAGGGAGGCCACCTGACCAAGCTCATACACCAGACAAGAGCCAGGGAAGGACGAGGACAGTATGTACAGACGTTTCTTTCGTTCTCTCCAGCCTCACCACGGAGCTGTTCAAGTAAAGGGATCAGGCTCCTGCCCCACGCACCCCGGCCTCACCCCGGCCTCCCTCACGGAGCAGGAACCGGCCACCGGGGCCACCGCCACCTCCCTGGTGGTGGGAGCCAGAGATCGGGGGTAGGGTTGCTTTATGGAACTAGAAGGGTCAGAGGCTCTTCCTAGCAGGTGCTGAGGTCCAGATTTGGGCAAGGGTGAGGGGGGTGGGGAGTTACGGAATGGGGCAAAGGCCAAAGGCTATTTCTTGCGGGGGTGCTGCCTGCGGGCCTGCAGCCGCTGCCGAGCCCCCGGGGTCTTGGATCCTGCACCAATGGAAAATGAAGGAGCCGCCGATCCTGGAAAGATTCAACAAGGTCTCATCAGGGCAGCTGGTATCTGGGACACCTCCCTGGGCACCCTAATCTCTGGAAGGTTAAGCCAACAGAACATCCATTACTTAAACAGGGCTTCCCAAAAAGTGTCAGTTGCATTGGGGGGGGGGGGAGGGTTGCGCTACTAAAAGTACAGAATCGCAGAACATCTGAGAATGTGCAAGAAAGCATTTCACTTGGCTTTCCGGTGCTCTGGAACATTCCACCCACTCTATACCTGGGCTTTGCCAATCTTGTAGCCAGGCCACATCTTTCTCATGCTTATGAGCCCAATCTTTTCCTGGGGGGGGGGGGAGCCAGGAACCTGCCAAGACCCTCCCCTTCTTTGGGAAAGAAGGTCATGCTGGCTGCTTACCGAAAGATCCGACTCCAACAAAGCCTTGGGTGGGTGCTGAGGACGCCCCAAAGGAGAGACCACTGCCCGACGCGCCCACCCCGGGGGCAGGGGTGTTCTGACCAAAGGTGGGTGCGGAGGTGCCTAGAATGAAGAGACCGCAGAAAACGGGCGACTAGGCAGTGAGCAGAGGGCGTAAGAGCCAGGGCGACAAACCAGGGAGTGTCCCCACGGGGCCCCTCAGCCCTGGACTGCCGAAGCTGGCTCACCCCAGTGGTGGTCTCCCTGTCCACTAACCATTGCGACCTTCTGGCCACCTCAGCAACAGTCTCTGCACGCCCATGACCACCAAAGCACGGGACGGGGGACGCTCAATGGACCCTCCCCTCCCCACTTTCAACTGGACCAGGTCACTTTTCCTCTCTCATGACTAATTGAGTTCTCTCCCTTCTCCCTGTTTATGCGTCCCTCCCCATCAGAAACCTGAGCCTTCCAAACACCCCCACTGCCGTGGGTCCTCTTGCCTTTCCATTGCCACGTTCAAAGTCCGCTCCTGCTACTGCCTCCCCTCAGGCCTCAGGGAGGGCTGGCCTCCTCGCTCCCAGTCCTGACCTCAGTCATCCCTCACCCCATCACCAGGGACCGCCTGGCACCTAGATGACCACTGTGAGCACCTCAAGTATTGGCCCCCCCTCCTTGCCGAGCCTTGCAGTCCCCCGCCCCTTCTGTGGCACCAGCTGGGGCTGCGACAGGCACACCTGCCCCCGTTCACCCCAGTCTGGATGTTGCTGATTAACAACATGTGACAGCGCAGACCGGCCTCACTTTAAATTCATCACCGTGATTCCCCAGCAATACCGCCTGGCAGTTCTCCCGTTCTCCTTACACTCCTTTTCCCTCTCTCCAAACGACCATTTCAAGATGCCTCCTCTGTACATGAACCTCCCCAGGACTGTCTCCCATTTCCTGAAGAAAGCACACTCTCAGGATCAGAGCTGTGCGCCTCCACCCATGTGGCAAATCAGATCACTTCACTCTTCTGCTTCCAATTCTACCAGGATTTCCCTCAAGGCTTAAATTCAAACTTAACCCTGGCCACGTGTGACCTTCAACCCTGCCTCTCCACGTGATTCTGGATCACTTCGGTTCTTTGATCCTCTAGGTACAACTCACTTTCCTGTTTGTGAACAGAGCTTGCTTCTGCCCCAGGGCCTCTGCACTACACCTCTCTTGTGCCCGAAGAGCGCTCTCTCTCACACCTACCCACACCCAACCCCTCTGTCACAGATGGAGTCTTGGCTTAACCTGCCTCAGAAAGGCACAGCCTTCTCGGCTGCCCAAAGAGCCCCTCCACAGCCTCTCGGGCTAGCCCGTCTTCAAGCAGGACACACAGCTCCCTGACCCCGTAGCTACGTCAGTCACTGCCACACAATAAAGCCGAGAGGGGCCCGTGCCAGTGCTCAGAACAGCGCCTGGTACAGCACACCGGGTCCACTCCTCATCTTACCTCCAAACACGGGCTTGCTGTCGGGCGTGCTTGCCACACTGAAGGCAAAGGGTGTGCTCTGGATGGGTGCGCCCAGCGTGCTCTGACTCAAGCCGCCTCCAAAAGGGGTCGTGCTGCCAGCGGTGCCGCTCTGTCCCGTGCCGAAGCTGAACGCTCCGGAGGCGGAGCTGGTGCCGGGGGTGGCCACGTTGATCCCGAAGCCCCCGCTGCCAGCCGGGCCAGTGGAGCCCCCGAACGGGAAGGGCGCCAGCGTCGTGCTGCCGAACACGGAGCTGGTGGTCCCACCGCTGGTGGTCTGGGTCGTAGCTCCGAAGCTGGAGGCAGTGGCCGCCCCGAAGGAGAACATGGACGTGCCACTGCCAAAGGCCGGCTGGGTGCTGGCAGGGGTGCCGAAGGCGGACGCCGCGGGCTTCAAACCACTGAAGCTGGACTGCGTGGCGCCTCCGAAGGCGGGCTGGGCTGGGCTAGGCGCTGGGGTCGCAGCTGGAGCTGCGGCCGCGGAGTTCCCGAAAGTGAAAGAGCTGCCAAAGCTCGGGGCAAGGGCCGGCTTGGCGGCGCCCTGCTGCTGCCCGTCGGTGGCCCCGAACGTGGGCTGGGGGTTGACTCCTGGGTACGAAGAGAGGGGGGGCTTGGTGTTTGAGCCGAAGGGAATGTGGAACGCCGGCGTGGTGGTGCTAGTGAAGGTTGGTGCCGGCTGGCTGCCGGTGACCGGGGTGGGGGTGCTGAGGCTGCCGCCGAAACCGCTGAAGCCGGTGGTGCCGCTGCTACTGCTGGCCGTTGTCTGCACGGCCCCGGGGAGAGACTGGACAAAGGTCGTGACCGTCGTCGACGCGGGCACCGTAGGAGGCTTGCCAAACTGGAATATGGAGCCCACGGCTGGGGCAAAGCTGGCACCGGAGGCAGGGGAAGCCCCAAAGAGGAAAGGCTGGGCAGCGGAAGTGGTGGTGCTGGTCACGCTGCTCACACCGAAGCTGAATGTGGGCTTTGAAGCGGAGTCTGTGGATGTGCTGGCTGTGCTCACGGGAGCCACGGCTGAGGTGGCACCGGCCTGGCCGGTGAAAAGAGGGGCGCTCGTGGCAGTGGCTGGAGCAGCTGTCTGACTGAAGGAGAAGGGGACCGACGAGGGCACAGACGCAGGGGGCCCCATGCTGCCAAAGATCGGCTCGAAAGTGAGCTTGGGGCTGCTGGCAGGTGCGGGGAGGGCAGAGCTAGAAGGTGTCGCGGTGGTGACCTTGGACGGGCTGGATGGCAAGGGGCCCTCATTCTCACTTTTTGGTGGGGCCAGGAAGATGGGCTTGAACATGGGAGATGCTGAGGACACAGCAGAGACTGCAGAGGTAGGGGGGTCGGCAGGTGGGTTGCTCAGCATTCCCAAAAGAAGACTGTGCTTGGGAGTGGGGGACGGGGCAGCCGGGGCTGGGGACTTGGCAGATGTCTCAGCCTGAGGCGCTGGAGAGGGCTTCGCAGGGTCAGTGGCTGGGATCGGGGAGGCAGCAGGGGTCAGCCCCAAGAAAGTGACTGTGGATTTGGAGTCCGAGGAGGTGCCTGGAAGGGGTCCTGACTGTGAAGAGCCAAGAGAGGCCAGAAGGCTGGGTGTCTTGGGAGGCGTATGGACCCCAGTGGTTGCCACTCCGGCAGATTCTGGAAGAACAGAGAAAGTAAATTCTGAATACCTCAAATGTGATGGCACTCAATGCTTTTCTGCCTAGTACCATGCTAAGGATTCAGAGTCCATCAACAAATGTAACTATGTCCAAACCACAGACCCTTAGAGTATTCACTCCTTGAAAATCGAGGCAATATTCATTATTTCTACCCTTCCTGGATCATAAGATATGAGCGGATATGATGTGGCCTCAATGGGGAATAAGGTGTAGAAACTAAGGAAAACCCAATCACCCAAACTGCAGTCCCATTAGTTACCCACATGCACCTTACTTACTACTCATCCAACAAAGACTGACTCTGCCTACAGTGTGCTGGGTGCAGCACATATAACGGTGAGTAGAAGAGTCTCTGCCCTTGAGCCCTGGGAGAGGCTGATGCCAGACGGACTACTACATGCTATAAGGGCAACAAGAGGAGTGTGGGCATGTGCACTGCCACAAAGGACGCTTAGAAACCCAGAGGGAAAAATAATCAACATCCTCGTGTGCTTGTGGTCATGTGACAAGACCTGGTAACTGCAGGATTGCAGAGCCACCTCAACGGTAAACACTCGCATTTTACAGGGGATGACAGCAAGGCTCAGAGTGGCTAAGGGCCATCTCACTGCTAACACTAAGCTGCCAACCCTGGCTTTACGTGTCATGGCCCCCTCCCTAGAACCTCCTGATTAGAGAATTCTGAAGCTCGGGAGTGCACACCAGCTCAGGGCCAGTGAGCCACGGCAAGTTCAAGCTCCCAAAGCTCCCCAGTGACTGGCAGGCATGCCACTTTTACTCTGCCCGAGACACGAGGGTGTCATTCCGCACCACGGAGGGCGTGCGTCCACTCACCCGAGGCGGCGGGCAGGCCTGCAGAACTCTGCATCTTCTTCAAGCTCTCCAGCAACGGGTTGGTGCTCGGGGCCGGGAGGGTGGCTGGGGAGGCGGTGGTCCCCGTAGTCGGCAGGGTAAACGTCAAAGGAGGCTGAGTGGTAGGGGGCTTCTCAGGGATAGAGTCAGTAGCGGTATCTGAGGAGAAAGGAAAGGTGGTGGGAAGTTCTTTCCAGGGGCACATCACCCGGCACGAGACGCTCGGACTTAGCATCTGCTTATTTAGAAATGCACCCCTGGGGCGCCTGGTGGCTCGGTTGAGCGTTTGACTTTGGCTCAGGTCATGATTCATGATTCGTGGGTTCAAGACCTCAACTGTCAGTACAGAGCCTGCTTGGGATTCTCTCTCTCCTCTCTGCCCCTCCCTCACTCGTGCATTTGCTCTCTCAATAAATAAAAGAAAGAAAGAAAGAAAGAAATGCTTCCCATTGATTCCAATGCTCACTGTTCTCCAGATTCCACCGAGGCCCCAAACGGATTTCTCAGATGAAAAAGATCCAAATAAAACCAGAGGAAGCTCCTCTTTGGAGCATGAAATTGGTCGGTCTTCCTTACCAGTCCCATCCTCCAAGGCCTTGTTAAACCACCGCAGGGAAGCCCTTTTTTCCAAGTCTAGATCTTCGGCAGTGATGGAGTAGCCAAGTTGGGGAGGTGGGGGCTGCCAGAGAGGAAGATGAGAGGCCAGTCAGAGAAGCTGGAAGAAGCCTTTATTTAGCTTCCCTAGAACTTGGGAGTGCTGGGCCGGTGTGGCGGGTGTGGAAGGACAAAGCCATACCAGGGTCAGCCGGGCCCCTCGCCGGGAGGGTAGGAGCTGAATCTTCCGCTTCCGCTGCCCAGAGCTGCCAGGTGTGGGGGGGGAGGTCCACGAGTTCTGCGCCTTCCATGTGGTTGTATCTGCTGCTAAAGAAACAAACATCGGGGCGCCTGGGGGGCTCAGTCGGTTAAGTGTCTGACTTCGGCTCAGGTCATGATCTCACAGTTCATGGGTTTGAGCCCCATGTTGGTCTCTGTGCTGACAGCTCAGAGCCTGGAGCCTGCTTCATATTCTGTGTCTCCCTCTCTCTCTGACCCTCCCCTGCTCACACTGTCTCTCTCTCTCTCAGAAATAAATAAAACATTAAAAAATTAAAAAAAAAAAAAAGAAACCACCATGGACTTGTTTTCTTCCTCCTCTTCTAGAAATGGCTAGGTTTGTCTACGCACTTGGTTTTGAACACGGAATTTTCACTGGTTATCTCTGAAAGATTTGGTCTTTGTAGCTAGGTCTTGAAGAGTCTGCAAGATGGTTTCGGGCAGGAGGATATCAAGTGAGAACTGCTGCAAATGCGGGCATACAGCTGCTCACTGAGAGCGGTTACCTGGACTGCCCAGAGGGGCCCTGCCCGCACCCACTGCCAGCCTCCCAGTCCGCTGGGCAGCGCCATAGCTGTGGCGCAGACCACAGACCTCTACGCCAACAGGCCCTTTTCACCCCGTGCCTACCAGGCCCTGCACAGTGATGCTCAGCGCGTGCTACCGGATGAGCAGTGGTCTACACATGCTCCGTAAACACTCCCACCACCACGAGCCACTCCTGCACGCTTCTCAACCTACCCTTTTCTCCCTGGGCCTCCCTGTCTGTTGCCAAAGGAGTTGAAGAACTGGAGCGGTGAGAAAGCTCGTCTTCTCTGTGGGCAAAAGAGGTAGAAGCATGTTTAGAAAGACTTCCTAACAGAGCACTGGGTAACTTCTTACAGCCTCTTAACTACCAACTGGCCAAAGTCTAGAACAACTGTGATTTAAAATCACAGTAGCAAAAAATAAATAAATTAAATTAAATTAAATTAAAAAAATAAAATAAAATAAATCATAGTAGTCAGGACAAAAAGAAATCAGAAGAAAATTCCTACACAGTGAAGGGAGAGAGTTCACGAAGGCCACGGAGAAACCTCGGTCTCACAACCAGGATGAAATGATGACCTTCACAACCTTACTTACACCCGTCCGGTCCCTGAGAGCTGCAGCCACAAAGCTGACCCCTAGGAGCAGCAGACTAGTCGCCTGTCAGTGCCTGGAGGCCAGCTGGGGTCCAGAACATGAACTCTCCTGCCCCTGCCCCCTGCCCCCACGGCTCTGTGCCCACACCCCGTCGCTCGTGCTGCAGGCCGAGGAAGAGAGCCAGAGCCACCGGGGTTGGCATAGAAAACATTTAAGAGACGAGAGCAGTGCAGACATGTACTTCACTGTCCTAGATGGCGATCTCGGTCAGATTCTCCAAATCGGAGCAGCAGGAAGCCTAAGAGCCAAGTACACGTGCCTTCTATCCGCCCTCTCATTAATCCGTAGTACAACCAAGGACCCATCACCTTATTTTCTTTGCTGGCCTCTCTGGTGTCTGCGAGCGGGACGAGGCTGGGCTGGAGAAGGGTGACAAGCTGGGCCCGCTTCTCTTCCAAAGCTAAAAGGCAAAGAGCAGTGACATGACTGACCCTACTAGACAGCGTGACATCCGACCTTCAGCAGAACTTAGTGTTCTGTTCATCACCGCACACAGGGTCTCCTCGTTGACACACACTTCTTTGTGGAGCATCTGGCTGACTCAATGGAGCACACGACTCAATCTCCAGGTTATGGGTTTGAGTTCCACTTTGGGTGTAGAGACTACTTAAATACAATTTTTGAAACAAAAAAGGGGCGCCTAGATGGCTAAGTCAATTAAGTGTCTGACTCTTGATTTTGGTTCAGGTCATGATCTCATGGTTTGTGGGTTCAAGCCCCACACTGGGCTCCCTGCTGGCAGCATGGAGCCTACTTGAGATTCTCTCTCTCGCCCTCTCTTTGCCTCTCCACGGTGCACATGCTCTTTCTCTCAAAAATGAGTAAAAAATAAAGAAATAAATAAAAATATTGCTCTGTGAAGGAAGGCCCTTGAAGGAAAGTCAATTGCCAGTATTAACTATGTGGGGGAAAAAATCTGAGTAAGAAAATACTAATAAAGTACAAGGAATGAATATACTTTTTAAAAAGCATGTTAAAAAGTAGAAGGTTACATTCAGACCTCGTTTAGAGCCACATAAATGTAATGAACATCTCAAAAGAAAAATAGGCAAAAGATCTAATAAGGAGAGTCATTAAAAAAAAAGTCAATCTGGGGCGCCTGGGTGGCTTAGTCAGTTAAACGTCCGACTTCGGCTCAGGTCATGATCTCACAGTTCGTGGGTTCGGGCCCCACATCGGGCTCTCTGCTGACAGCTCAGAACGTGGAGCCTGCTTGGGATTCTGTGTCTCCCTCTCTCTCTGCTCTTCCCCCACTCATGCTCTCTCTCTCTCCTTCAAAGATAAATAAACACTAAAAAATTAAAAAAAAAAAAAAAGTCAATCTACATATCTAGCAGTCAGTTTAGTTCTGCAGTGCAATTCAATTTTGATTTGCAGAGTCCCCACTTCAAAGAGGCTCTAGACCTTTCTCCTTTAAGAAGAATGCCAAGATGAGCAAGACTGTTACACTGAGAAATTTACAGTGTGGAAAAGAGACAGGAAAGAACAAATTGGCTGTAAGAGCCAAAAGATAAAAGCCTTTCATGACTTAACAGAAAGCACCTGAAGATGGACAAGCTGCCTGGGCCTGTGATGGAATGGAGGCGCTATTCCAGAGAAGAGACCATGCAAGGAAGGCAGCGGGTATGAAGTGCTCTTAGTAGATACTAAACATCCCGGTCTGGCTGATACGCAGAACATAATAACGGGGCACAAGGTCGAGAGGCAGGCTAGGGCTGGGAGTGCTGAAGCAAAGGGTAAATATGCCTACTTCAGAAAATGACAAGTCTTGTAAGACACATAGAGATATCAATGCCATGCACCAAAACGTCAGAGGAAAGTTTACTTTTTCTATGACTGGTACCAGTGTAACATCTGTAATGACTCTGTATCAACACTAGGACTTCCAGTGTGCGCAGCTGTCCATCTGGGTATTTACCAGTATCCCCTGGAAAAATACAGTTAGGTCAAATACCTCTACTACCACTTGCACCAAATGTAAGGGCTGTCACCTATAGTGATTACTGGAGAGGATCACTACCTCAGTACGTTTTTTTTCCAAAGAGAAGCTTCAACATAAAGAACTTTCATATTGGGGCACCTGGGTGGCTCAGTCTGCTTCAGAGTCTGTGTCTCCCTCTCTCTCCCTTCCCCAGCACATGCTCACTAGCTCTCAAAATAAACAAACATTAAAAAGAAATTTTCATATTACATTTTTTCTTATTTATTATTTTGAGAGCGAGAAAGAGACAGTGCACACATGTGAGCAGGGGACAAGCAGAGAGAGGGGACCGGTAACTACTTAAAACAGAATACCAAACAGCTATTAGTGTCAGTGAGTGTACTTCCTGCAACAGGTTGAAGGCTCCACCACAAATAAGGCTGCTTAAAACATGACCACTTTCAGTACTGGCCGACCATGCTGTTCTACATCAACACTCCTGCCAGAGACAAGAAGCAAATGCTGAAGGTATGACCTACATGTGTCTGAAGGCACAGGAGCATGGAAGAGCCAGCAGGGCAGTAGACATCGTGGAGACAAGGGAAGAGGAGCCATATTTAAGTCTACTTTGTCTCTCATGGTGAATGCCAATTCCAAAAGTAAAAGCTGTAGTTGAGAGGCACAGAAAAGCTTTTGGCAATCTCATATGGCTGGAAAGACAAAAATGAATTCAGGGCCTTCCAAAATAGAGGGTCCTTAAAAGGACCTAAAGCTTTTAGTTTGGGATTCCCAAGGGTACGTATGATATAGGGCAAATCAGAAATAAAGCAGCCCTCAAAAGAGCTGACAACCAACTCAAAACCATGTCAATTCTACCAGGACAAAAGTAACCTGCTCCTACCCTAGCTACTGCCAGAGGGAAAGTGAAAAAGGAAAATCTCTCTGGAGGAAGATACCACCATTCAGAGCTTCAAGTCATTCATTCATTCATTCATTCATTCATTCATTCATTCATTCGTTTTGACACAGAAATAAAGTAACAACAAAAACTAAATGAGAAATTAATATTTACCCAATACCCTAGAGGAAAAAAATCAGACCTCAGAAACAGACCACAGAAGACTCAAATGCTGGAATTATTGAATAAAACTTTAGAAGAATTGTTATTATAAAAATTTAAATGACAATATGGAGAATCCTGGCAAACAAATAGTAACTGTAAGAAAGAGAACCAAAGCCACTTAAGAATGCAGTGGATGGCACAAAGCTAAAGGAAATCACTAGACACAGGAAGAACTGGAGGTGGAGACAAAATGATGGGAGACACAGACAGACACGGACAAATGGAAAATGTTTACCATGTGCCCTAGAACACTAAGAGCAGGGAGAAAATAGGGCAGAACAGTATCTGAAGCGATATTAAGTTGAGAGTTTTTCAAAACACATCAAGCCACATGACAAACTCCAAGAAATATAAACTGTAAACAAGTACTTCATAAAATTTCCTTCAGTGAAGATGGAACACTCACCAAAACTAAACATGTGCTTAGACACAGAACAAATCTCAAAACAAGAATGGATAGGGTAGTATATCTTGTGAGCTAGTGGAATTTGGCTAAAAACCAGTAACAGAAAGAGGACTAGAGAATTAATGGTTTCGAAATTAAGCAATGGTACTTCTAAGTAACCCATGAATCGAAGAAGAATGAATACAAAAAATTCTTCTATTTCAAAGCTGTGGGAATGCAGCTAAGGTTAAGTTTGTAGGAAATGTATAACCTTAAATACATATAAGAAAAGGGAAAACACTGGAACAACCCCAGTGATCTAAGAATCTGGATTTAAAAGTCAGAAAGAAACCTCAACAAATCAAACATGAAAAAAAGAAAGAAAAAGGGGAAAAAAAAGAAGTAAAATCTATTAGGGCATAAATTAAAGAAATAGAAAAACATAAAATAGCGTGACTCCTAAAATTGGTTCTTTGATATATGCTTTGAAAAAAGAACTTCCTTAATCCAATGAAGAGTATCTACAAAAAACCTGACTCAAACAGCATATGTAACAAGAAATGTGGAAAGTGCTTCCTTTGAGATCAGGAAAAACAAGGATGTTTGCTATTACTTCTATTCAACATTGTACTTCAGGCCTTAACCAAATGCAGTAAGGCATAAACAAACAATATAAGAACTACAAAGAGAGGAAAAAAAGCTGTTATTATTGTTGACAACATGATGGATATATGAAAATCCTAAAGAATATATAGATGCTTATGGGATTTAGCAAATTTCCTGAATGCAATAACCAGTTGTATCTCTATAGATCAGCAACAGATTTTAATAGACCATTTATAATAGCATCAAAAATACATACCTAGAAATAAGTAATGTGTAAAACAACTACACGATGAGGTTAAAGATGCTGTAAATAAATGAACGATATACAATGTTCATGGATTGGAAGACTCAATATTGTAAAAATTAATTTCTCTCCAAAATAATTGGTAGATTAAAGGCAATCTTAATATCTCAGCAAGTGGTCTTTATTTGGGTGGAAATCAACAAGCTAATTCTAAACTTCCAGAGAAATGCAGAGGGTCAAGATCTAAGACAATTGTGAAGAGGAATGAGAGAAATAAGAAAGTTGGATGACTTTTTCTACTACACACCAAAACTGCAAGACTGTGTGGCAGCGCAGAAAAGAAGACAGGTACAGGGCAGAAAAACAGACCAACAGAACAGAAGAGAACCTAGACATGGATTCACATATACATATAGACATTTAAATTACAACAAAGGCAGTGCCACAGTGCAACAGGGAAAGGGTGATCCATCCTTTCAATAAACGTTGCTAAGTCAAATGGATATTTATGTGGAAAAATACTAATTTTGATCCCTACCTCCCATGATACTCAAAAATCAACTTCAGGTAGATTATGGATCCAAATGTGAGAAGAAAAATAATAAAGCTTCTAGAAATTAGCATAACATCACCATGACATCAGGGAGACAAAGAGTTCTTATAGTGTGCATATAGCACATTAACCATAAGTGTAAATTTGAAGAAAATGAAGTGGTGAGACACAGGACAGTGATTTGTTGCAATACATAATTTCACAGTGAGCTTGTATTTATAATAAATAATGTATATAAATCAGTAAGAAAAAGATGAATAGAAGAAAGCCAAGAAAGCTTAGAATAGGCACTTCATAAACAAGGAAGTATAAATGACCAATGAACAGTTTACATATCTATTTCATTAGCAATTACAATTATAATCACAAATTACAATTAGGAAATCACAACCACAATGAAATACTATTTCACACCCACTGGAATGAGTAATTAAAGAGACTGGCAACATCAGTGTTAGTGAGGCTGTGTAACCACAGGAAAAAAAATCTCATACTGCAATGGTAAGGGTAAGAGTATCAACGGAAACATAACTTCCTTCCTTCACCTACCTATTTACTTAAATACATA